CAGCTGCTGGGTATATATCCCCCCCTCAAATTCTCCTCAGGCCTATAAGGTGACATGGACAAGGATGTTCAATCCAGTGTTGCTTGTGGTGGTGGCAATGTGGAGCAATGTGGAACATTCAGGGGATCCATCACTGGGGAATGGAGGGGTAGCTTCAGGGTGATGCACACAGTAATAAAGAAAATAGACCAGATGCAAAGAACAATAGGAATGGAGCTAAAAACGACACATCATGTTAAGTAGAATGCAAGAGATGTGTGAGATTAAAGACAAATACCATTTATATACATTAAAAGCATATGCATTAAAAGTAGCCATAGACATTTTGCAAGGACACATGGAAACCAAAGGCTATCTTATCAAGATATGATGATGAGATGGAATTAAAGAACTTTCTAGAAGGGCAAAGTGGGCAGCAAGAGCTTTGCTGTCTACATCAGCTGGCAGCTGATGGGGACACTACTTGAGCATTTTGAGAACATTTATAGTACTGGGCTCTCATATTTTCTACCCTTCCTTGCCTCTGGGTCATACCAGGCCTTCATGTGAGAGTGAGTTGGGCTGCAGACAGTGCTGTAAGAAGACCCTTCCTTAGAAGCATGTATTCAGGGAACCCAGGGACGTTTCTGAATCCAAGGGACTGGGACCCTGAGAAGGAGGGAGATTCTGAGGGTGATGCTGACAGTCCCAAAAGATGGAGTTCTGTGAATGAAAGAAAACCTTGAATAACAGTGACTTAGATAATAAGTTTTTTCCCTCAGATAAATGAAAGAATCCCAGGGATGTTGGGGTGACCCAGGTACCTTCTATCTGCTTACTCTGCTATCCTTGTCATGTGGCTTCTACTTGTGGGTCCAGATGTCTAGTCCAGATCCAACTGTTTTCTCTGTACTCCAGAGAGCAAGAAGGAAAAAAGGAAGTAGGTGCTCCTCCCTTCCCCTGGTGACACTCCCCAGAAGCCCAGTGAATCACTTCCACCGATGTCCCATGGGAAAGAACTCAGCCATGAGCCCTCTCCTAGTTCGTGGGAGGCAAGGTCATGTAGATTTTTATCCTGGGGAGCAACATGGCTAAAAGGAAGTCAACTGTCCCAGCTTGCTCTGAAATGAGGATGTTCCTGGTACACTGGACTTTTAGTTTTAAAAGTGAAACAGTTCTAGACAAACTGGGAAGGGTTGGTCACTGTGTTACCCAGGTAATAGTTGAGACACTCCTACTGAGAAAGTAGAAAAGGTCACGAGGTTGTGTCCGGTAGCCTACCATGAAGATATCCTTTATTCTTGCAGTTGGTAATAAATGGTAGGTCTTAAGTTCCTCTTCTGAGGGAAAACCATGAAGATGACATCTCTGTCTTTGGTGTTTTGGGTTTGGTTTTCTGCACCCTCCCATGCAGTTTCAGGAACTTAATTATCAGTCCATCTGTTTGTCCATCCAGCTATCCACCCATCCATCCAATCATTTACTTTTTCATTCTTAAGGCATTTGCTGAACATCTATACTGGATTATAAAGATACACACAGTTCCTGCCCTCAAGGACCTCCCTCTCCATGCATGAGACTCCATTCCAATACTAGTACAGAAACATAACTGTAACTGGAGCTTTGTACAAAGTAAAATGGGAACTAGTAAAAGCAACCAAATTTGGTTTTTGAGTCAGAGAAAGCCTTACAGAAGGGGTGACACTTGGCATTTTCCAGGTGCAGAGTGGACACATTCATTAGGGAGCAGGACACAGAAAGGGCCAAGACTCAAATAGCATACTCTGGAAAGATTGGTTAGTGCTGTGAGGCTGGAATGCAAAGGGCTTGCAGAGGGGAGGGAAAAGATGGGGTGAAACAGGAAGAGAGAGTGTAAAGAGCTTGAAGAAGTCAAGCTGTGGCCAGATTGAGTCCTCTGGAAGGCCATTTCATAGACTGACTTCTCAGACAGAGCCTTTACTAGGCTAACATGTGACAAGTATCCACCAGAGTGCAGTATGTGTGCTCAAAGGCTTTGAACAGGCACAGGCCGTCAGTAGAACTCATGCTGGGAAATCCCAGAGCATCCTCAGAGGGCATCTCCAAGTCCTGGAGGTCAACATTCTTTTGTGCCTGGAGATGTAGGCCCTATTCTGTCACAGGGTTCTTCTTTCTTTAATAATTTATACACTATCTCCTTTAATCTATAGAATTATAAAGCTTTTAGAGCTGGCAAAGACCTTAAAGATCGCATCATCCAAAACCAAAGAGGGAGCCAAAGAGGAAATACCACTGAGCTCATCAGGGCAGAGGTGAGCCCAAATTTAAACCTTTGGACTCTAAGACTATGACGATTTAAAGGGCATTTAATTATGAAAATATGAGAGGGCAGTTAAGGTAAGCATATAGAATTTCATGAAAGAATCATGTTCCTTGTTGAAATAATCTGGAATAAGAGCATTCTAGCTAATTAATAATTTAATTTAATTTAATATGAGTTTAGTCCTGAGCTTCCTGATATCCAAGCAGAGACAGATATGATGGTTTACATATTTTGTTCTTCCTGGTAAAAGGTAGCCTGGAAATAAAGGATTGAAGAGCCCACTATGAGCAGATAGGAACCAGCAGGCCCTACAACAGAGCTTTTGGTTATTCACTTTATAAACATGCAGACATCCTGGAAATTTAGTCTTGCAGGAGCTCTCCAGTACTTAAAGGCCACTACATCAGGCGCCATGAAAGAAGGAAGCACAGGACACTGAGGCAGTGTGGAGAGGAGATATGCAACCCATGGTGGGAGAGGGACCTCCCAGAGGGTCCTAATTATCAATTGGGTTATGTCAGTTTTCTGTTGAGCAAGAAAGGGATTGGTGGTTGGGAATGGAACTGTAAACAGAGGCAGCCCCATTGTGAATGCAGAGAAACCTGGAAAAAAAATCTGGTAAGTTTCAGGAATTGCAGGTTTTTCATGTGCTCAGATTGGCTGAAGCGACATTTAGTCTGCCAAGTAGGGAGGCATGAGTAAGAGACAGACTGAACGAATATTAACCATTATTACTAAAACTCCCTCGCTGTCCACTTTTCTTCTGGAGGTGAAAGCATCTTCATTTTCACCTGTAGATCTGTCTGGATTTAAGAAGCAAATTAATACTTCCCTTACCTTGTGTGTTGGGGGTGGGGGCAATATCCAGTAGATTTTCTGTCACTTAGACTTTGGTGAGAATTAAAGGTCAAAGACAGGTTTGGGTGTAGAGAAAGCATGGAGTGAGTATATGATAGGTGGGTAAGAGACAGACTGCCCAAAGCGGGTAGTGTCCAGAGCAAGGGTATACAGAGGTCTGGAAGACAGACTGGATGCGTTTCACATTGGCTTTATATATCCCCAAAGACTTTGACTTTTTGAAGTCCTCTTTGAAACCACAGAGGAGTAAGCAATATTGTCAGTAGATTAGTTACAGTTGACAAGTTAATGTGAGGTTCCCTTGAGGCTTTCCCATAGGCGTGATTAGTTAAGAGGGGAGTAGGTATCATGTCATGCATCCTAAGGACATGTTGATGGATTAGGAAGTGGATCTGTGGAGGGAAGAAGGCAATTAGGTCAAAGCATGTACCACCGTGGTGGGGACAGATTGGGGGAAGGGGATCCACACACAGGGGCGCTCTCCCTCTCTCTCTCACTGTGTGTGTGTGTGTGTGTGTGTGTGTGTGTTTTGAAATAAATTAACCATGTTTCCTGGCTCAACTGTGGTCAATGTTCAAGAGTAAATATTCTGGGAACAGGCATGCTTTATGGTCCCTACAACATATTCCTGTTTATTATTTAATTTGTTTCACATGGTCATCCTATGAGTGAGGATGACCTTACAGATGACAATAGCAGGACTGAAAGACTAGATGACTTCCCACATCCTTCAGCAGGCAGAGAACCAAGACATCTGACTCAAACCTGTGCTCCTCTGCATATGCATTCTACAGCCCACAATGGAGGCTTACCCCTTTCCGTCCCCAGCTCCTGCAGGTGTTACGGGGGGGGGCCCTTCCTGACCACCCCTACCAGTGCCTTCCCTCCTGCTGACATGCAGTGCTACAACCTGACTAGATTCTCCTGCAGCACAGTTGCCTTCTGCAGGGCTTAGAGATGCAGAACATGATTCTTTGCAAGCAAACAAGCATGGGCTTTTGGGATAAACTTAGTGATTTTGGAATGATTAAATAGCTAACTGCTGGGAGAGACCTGGGATCATTCTTCTTAAGGTGCTGATAAAATGTAAACATTTTAAGTATAAACTTAGACCTTAGGTGAAAGATGATGAATTGTGTATAAAAATTACCTTTTCCAGCCTCTTGCTAGCAGCAATGTAGACAAAAGCTTTGGATCCTCCCTTTACTGGACAGGAGGCAGGCTTGGGGGAACCAAAGAACCACGGGATCAGGGACAGAGGAACCAAAGCATGGGCTCTGCAGCTACCTTGCCTTCCATGAGCCAAATGAAAATGCTGGAGACCAGTGGTCCCCAGTCCTTCAAGGGAAAATCATCTTATGCTTTGGTGGCTATCCTCTCCTCTGGGCCACCACCCTTTAAGGTTCAGGTTTCACCTCTTTGAAGATACTGTAAACATTGCTCCTCCCCCTCCGCCCCCCAGTGGGTTTTGATTGAACAAAGTATAATTAGGAAACCCACAGATCACCATAGGGTACTTCCACGAGATCAAGAAAGCGTCTTTCACTCATTCCACAGATTCCTTTGAACCCATCCTCGAATTGTGTGGTTTCGCTAAGCGCTTCTCTGAGGTGGTGGTCAGCAGATGGTGGGTTGGGGGCGCCGGGTTGAGGGCAGCTGGCAGAGCTAGTGATGTCGAGTGGGAACCCAGGGAACACTGGGCGCCTACAGCTTGGAGCAGCTGACTCTGAGGAATTACTGCATGTCTGCACAATTTAAAAATCTGCAGTCTGGGGGTGGGAGGGGGAAGGCGGGGGTGGGTCCCCCAGCGTCCCATTTCTCCTCCAGTCTGTTGGCTGAGCGTTCTCGATTGGTGGAGAGAGGCCAGGAATGCCTTTTGAACCACATGCGGCCCTTTCTGGGGTCCTGTTTGTTCCCCAATCTGAGCGAAAGGCATCTCTTTCTGACTCTCTTCCATTCGTCCTTCTGAAAGGTGACCGGATTGGTTCCCCCTCTGCACATGAGGTGCATATGTTTGGTGCATATGTCCAGCCACCTCTTCTGACTTGGTAAGTCGAGGAATGGAACAAACCATCCTGTGAGTCTTCAAGCAGCGGGAGGTGGCAAACGTTGGCAGAACTGGGGCTGTTTCCTCCTTCGCACTTTGTTTTAAAACAAGTTGGGGCCTCGCGACTTCCCAAGAAAACCCCGGCAAATTTGCTATGAGTTGCTTGGGCCGCGACTTTTGAGAAGTATTTTACCCTAGCCGCTGAAGTCGCGGGGGAGTTCGTTTTCTTCGCCGGGCCGCGGTGTTCTCAGCCCGGGTGAGGCTGGCGCGCGGGTGGGAGGCCCGGGACGCGCTCTGGCGTTCACTGGGGCAGAGCAAGTTGCTCCAGGGGTGACTGCTCTGGCCTGGGCGTGGGAGAGGGGGGCACTTGTCCTGCAAAGCTGCGTTTCAATCCAATCATCTGTCCTCTTGTCTCGCGGTCTGACCCCGCAGTCTGCAACTGCCCGCTCTGGAGCACCGCGCCCTTGGCCGGGGGAGCCCAAGTAAACGGCTAGATTCGAGGCAGCGGGCGGAGCTGGGACCAACAGGGCGGTGACTGAGCGGCGGGCCCCGCCCGGCCCCGCCCGCCGCACTCGGGCGCCTCTCTCAAGCCCGGCGGGACCAAGGGACTGACCGACCGACGAGGGCCACCCCGCTCTCCTCGCCGCCAAGGCGGCGGGCGCGGGGCGGCGCGGAGAGGCCTGATCCCTGCAGCACTGGCGCGCAGCGTTGCAGAGCGGAGCAAGCCAGACGCGCCAGGACTCCTGCAGGTACCTGCTCGCGTCCCCACCTCGCTGCACCCTCAGGGGACTTCTGCGTGAGCCCCCTCAACTTTATTGCATCTTTCCCCACCTTTGATGCTCCAGGCTCCGGCGGTTCGGGTTGCGGGTGCAGGTCTACTCCCGCAAGGGACTTTGCATCCTACTGGGCGCCTGTCTGCAGGCGCCCCCCATCTTCCAGTCCCTGGAGCGTGCCGTCGCTGGAGTCCTAAGTCTCTGCCTGTTGCGCGAGGGGCAAACAGCCGAAACGGTGTGTGAGTCCCTTTGAAAGCCGCGGGGAAGGTATCTAGGATCAGCTTTCGGGGCTTTGGGTGGGTTGGAAAACAGACTGGAGGCGGGAGAATAGATGAGCCTCGGAAAGGCGGCACCTCGCATAGGGGCATCCCCGGGGCGTTTCCTTCGTCGGGAAGCCCTTCCTTCCCTTTCTCGAGAGGAGGCGCTTCCCTGGCAAATGTAAGTGCTTCCCAGGCCGCCTGCTCCGCCTTCTTCCCTGTCATTTCTCCCCTCCCCTTTGCCCTGCAGTGGAGCAAGGTGCCCCGCGACAGTTGCAGGGAAGAGCGCACCCATGGCCCTTGTCCTGGTGCATCGTTGCGCCCAAGGACTGCGGGCACGCTCTGGGTGGGGGCGGCTTGGGGCTTGCAGAGCGGGCGTGGAGTCACCGGTAGAGTCTCAGCATATAGATAAGTGGTAGTGGTGCGGGTCGGTGCCTCGGGGTCAGGAACTCTTTTTTTTTTCTTCCTCGCGCCCCTCTAGATAGCTGGGTGCCTGACCTCCGGAGGCTCATCAGCCTGCGAGAGATCCAGACCTGCCGGCAGGGGCCGCGGCGAGCCGGGCTAGGCGCCTGCCTTTCGCATTGCAGAGCTTGTCCCCCCTTCCTGCCCCCCCCCCCCCGCCCGGTGTCCCTTCTCTTCGGATTTGGGAAAGAAACATCTTTTGTCCTCTTGTTATTTTCCTCTGTCTGGGCTGGGGAGACCGAGGGGATAGTTTAACTCGGGTAGCCTCTTCTTCAGCTGGTGAGAATGACCCCAGGGGCTCCGGTTTGGTGCCGAGGTGCAAAGAGCCAGGGGAGGTTTCTTATGGTCTTCCTGGAGAGTATTTATGGTTCTCTCAAGGATTTTGTCTTTCACCTTAACCTCTGAAGAGTGTGAGGCAGGCGAGGGAAACCAGACCAGAAACCTTTCCCTTTGCTTTTCATATATTTGCTTAAGCGATTTGCATAATCGTGCGTTTAGAACTGTGTAAGTTACTCCTAGATGCTCCCCTTCTTACACCACTTGCAAATAGCTGCCCACGCACACAGGAAACGAGTATTTTCCTGAGCACCTGCCTCTTTGCTAAAGGTATGAACCCCCGTGATTTGTTCTCCCCACACGCAAACTCTTCACCTGGGCATCGAACTCTTTGAGGACATTGATTCATTCGCTGTGCATTTATAACGAGCCCACCATGGATAAGGCCCAGACACTGGGCTGCGCTATGGGGATGGATTAGTGGAAGAGTTTCTGTTCCTTCTATTACTGTTCTTTCTCACCAGATTCCTTCCTTCTCCTTGTTCGTCATTTCAGAACTAGATTGTCAGTATTAGGAGAGGAAGGAGAAGGATGAGGAAGTGCATTGGAACTCCGAGTCCAAAGCATGTTGTGACCATTCTAAGGAGTCTGGTGGGATCTGATTTAACTGAATCTGTGTCTGAGTCATCATTATTGCCTAAATACAGTCATTGATGAATGCAGCCAAGACAAACGTTTGCAGAAGAGAGCAAGTTGGGAGGTCAGAAGTAGTCTTTGCGTTGTTCCTATTATTACACTATTAAAAATCCAATGCTCTGACGTTTGGATTTGTCAGCAAAGTTCCAGCTAAGGTGGTTCTTGCTCCTTTTCCTCCTCCTCTTCTTTGGAAGGGGAAGAATGGGGATTCCAGTCTCCTCCTGTCTGTAATGAATTCACTGTAATCCTTCCCAGATTCTGCATTTCTCTGTTCTTCCCCACATCTCAATCTGCCCCCTATTTGGCATTTGGAGTTGGAATGTGTGTCAGCTTTGAGAAAGCAATGCACCAAGCGCCCCCACCCCCTTCTTTTAAAATAGATAGCGTTTATTGGCTGCATACTATATATCAGATACTCTGCTAGAAATCTTTCCAGGCATTATCTCATTTAATCCTTGCAACAACCCCATGAAAAAGTGAGGCTTGGGAGTTGCCAGCAGATGGAGCCTCTCAGGTGAGTCCTGAGTTTCATGGAAGCCCAACAGGATAGAGTGGGACTAAAGTCTCAAAAGTAGGGAAGAACAGCTATCCATGGCAAATCCCTGCAGAAAGAAAAGTGGGTGTATTTATTGACCCTGTTTATCAAGCATCAAGATGGTGTACTCCTCCAGAGTCTCACTCCTCCAGAGTTATCTAGAGGTAATAGATATAAGTAGAGAACAGCATATGACTTGGGGATCTGAGTTCCAGCCTTGATTTCTAATTCTTTATCTACTTGACTTGACATCGGTCACTTTTCTTCTCTGCGTCTTATCTGTTTAGCTGTAAGGATAGATTTCTAATATTTATTGTCACCTTTTGCTAGGCACTACAAGCTAAAAACTTTTACATGTATTAACTCATTTCTTCTTGATGATAATATAGCAGATATTTCAAATGAGGAAAGAGACTGAAACTGAGCAAATAATTGTGTAACGCCACCCAGCTAGGAAAACATGAAGCTGGGATTCTATCCCCAGCAGTCTGCCTGCAGGACCACTGGGAGATCAAACCTTTTCTTGTTTATTCTTAGTAGGTCCTCAGTCTTAGTAGGACCTAAGACTGAATTTATTGAGTGGTGATTGGTAGAGCTGGCTTGAAGTTTCTGGTTTCTGGTTTTTCATCTTAAAAAGAATTTTGAAGGTTGCACTAGAAATTGAATCTCTTTCCTTTGCCAAAATAGTCTGCTTTTCAATGCAATTCTTCCCATCTGGTTAGAAAGAAAGGAAGACAGAACTTAGAGACCATAGACTAGGAAACTTTATGATTATTCCAGAAAACACAGTGAACAATATGAGAAACTCAGAAAAATCACAGAACGCGTTGCCTCTGAGTCAAATCCATCCAGTAAGTAAACCAGTAACCAACCCACAAATGTTTATTGTGTGGGTGCCATGTACTTGGCCTATAGGCACTGAGGGAAGGTGGGATCTGATATGTAGTCTTTGAGCTTGAATCCACAGTGGATCTCAAGACTCAAGATCAATAAGTACAAGACAATACAGATACTAGTTATGTAATTCCAGCTAAGAATTACAAAGACTCTGTAACATACAAACAACCTATTGTAGTTTGCAGGAACTTTCATGGTAGTTATTTTCATAGTAACTGAGTGTGATAAGCCTGTATCAAAGGTGAGGAAAATAAGGCAAGGTGAGCCTTGAACTTGGACTTGGCCTGGCATCTTCTGACTCCAACTGCAACATCTTTCTTCTTCACTTCTGTCTGGTGTGGAAGACAGAACAGGAGGGCAAGAGATAGGGAAAGTCCTTAGAGATGGCTGAGTTTGAAATTTATCCTGAAGCTGCTTTTTTGTTTGTTGACCTTGGCCACCTGGGAGCACTTAGTAGTGGTAGGGGAAGGAGAGTAAACAGGAGAGGAAGAAGAGAAAGTGTTTTGTTTTGGTTTTACTTTTTCGGGGACCTAATTCTATGTGAAGCATGGATGGAACACCCAATTTTAAACATAGTCACAATGTTTAGAACCTGCAGAGAAAAAAGGAAAAGCTTTCATTCTAGTTCATAATTTCTGTTCTTCATCTTTTGAAACTTTGTAGCATATGTGCATTGTAAAAGAAAACTCTCTTTTATAAACTAAAAATAGTTACTAGATTAGATTGTTGGCAAAGGGGTTTCTCTATATGGAGTCCTGCAGAGCCTTAAACCATGATTTACTTGGAGGAGATACTGTATGAATATTACCTTCATTTGCACAAGTGTCCAATGATAAATGCTTAAGATCAGCTTGCTTTTAGCTCGCAATGTTACAGTGAAGCAGTTAATGTTTACATCAGCTGCTTCAGTTTCCTTGCTAAAGTTCCAAATAAAGAATATAGTCTCCCATCAACTGAGAACCTATTAGATTTCATCAAAATTAACTTAATGATTGCCTTATCTAGTCATAAATCTGTTATCTTTACATAGTTAAATATAAACAAGCATTCATTCAATAAGTGATATGTACTATGTCAGGAGCTGGGCAGACTGTGGTAAAGGAAACTATGGATAGGGTGTGGGTGGTGGTGGAAAGAGAAAGACATTAAACAAATAAATGCAAAATTTGAGCAGTAGTAGTGCTTAAAGGACTTCATGGAGTGACAAGAGTGGGGAGGGCACTAGTTTAGATGGGAGTATCGGAGAAGACCTTTCTTAAGAAGAGATTTCATTCTGAGGGGTAAACAGGAATTTATTAAGTGAAGAGTAGGGGAAAGAATTCCAAGCTGAGGATTCTTAGGCAGGAATGAGCATTGACCATTAGGAGAAGAAGTTTGGAGATATTTGGGAGGAAGTTGGAGAATAGGGCAGGGGTCAGATCGTGTTGCTCCCTTTATATAAGTTGAGGGTCTTATGGTTTATCCAGAGGGATATGGAAAGAAATTAATGGATTTGCGGTAAGGGACTACCATGAGCCTATTTGCATTTGCAGTGATCACCTCTTATCAGCAGTTTTGCTCTCTATTTGGTTTCAGTTAACCCACAGTCAGCTGCCATTCAAAAATATTAAGTGGAAATTTCAGAAATGAACAATTCCTAAGTTTTGAGCTGAAGGCCACCCTGAGGAATGTGATGGAATGGCATGCCATCCCACTGCATCCCTCCAGGGATGTGAATTATCCCCTTGTCTAGCATGTACATACTGTATTCCTACCTGCCTGATATCCAGTCAGTGACCATCTCAATTATCAGATCAGCTGTAGAGGTATTGTGGTGCTTGTGCTTAAGTGACCATTATTTTACTTAATAATGATCCCAAGCTGTAAAAGGAATGATGTTGGCAATTTGGATCTGTCAAAGAGAAGCTTGAAAGTAGTTCCTTTATGTGAAAAGGTAAAAGTACAATAAGACATTTTGAGTGTGTGTGTGAACCACAGTAACATGACTTTTATTGTCTGTATTGTTATAATTTATTTAGTTTATTGTGCCTCATTTAGAAATTAAACTATCATAGATGTAGCAAAAAATATAGTATATATGAGGGGTTGGGTACATTTAGGCATCCACTGGGAACATATTTCCTGAGGATGAGGGGGGACCACTT